TATCTCTATTTGCAACTTTTTGAGAAAGCACCATACCACCTTCCACAGTGGTTGCACCCTTTTACACTCCCACCAACAGTGAATAAGGAAGACTTTTTGCATCATATTGTTTAAGCAGATGACACTTTATGTGCATATTTCTAATTGTGGTTTTTGTTATGTGCCATTGAGTGAACTAAGACTAGTAGCAACCCCATGAACAATGGCTCTGAACTTTGCCCTATCCTGAGCCAGCCTTACCATCTCTGACACACCTGACCCCATTGCCACAGTCATTGTGTCAGTAGATCTCATTCAGGACCCTCCTCTCCTGTGCTGTCCCTCTACCCTTCCAAGCATGGCATCCTTCTCTAAGGACTCGAGCTTCTTGCAACCTACTCAAAGTATGTGAGACAGAGCTTTAAAATCCTTGCTTCCAATAAGCAAGCTGGTTTCACCTTCTCCAGTTCAGACCTGTTTTTTCTCTTGTCTATGGTATGTTGTCTATGGTGTGCTCCAGCACCACAACTCAAAGGAATCAATTCTTCTGTCATCTTTAGTCCAGCTCTCTGATGCATAACAAGTAATTGGGAACACCATGCCCTGCAACATTTCAGAGCTTCCATTGCCAGGTACTCCAGGATGACAAAAGAAGAATCAATTCCTTCACATTGTGGTGCTGGAGAAATATCATGGACAGCCAAGAAAACACATAGTTCTGTCTTGGAGAGAATGAAACCAAGTTTCTCCTGGGAGGAAAGGATTTTGAAGCTCTCTCTCACATGCTTTGGGCCGTGGCCAGAAGGAATGTCTCCTTGGAGAAGGACTTCATACTCAGAAGGTTAGAAGAATTGCACAGGAGAGGAAGACCCCGGATGAGATGGATTGATACAGTAACTGGGGCAATGGGGGTTGGTGTGTCAGAATCGGTGAGACTGGCTCAGGACAGGGCAGGCTTCATAGGTGCTGTATATAGGGTTGCTGTATGTCGCAGAGAACTCGACAGCACTTAGCAACAACAACAATACTCCAGATAATCTCCTTTCTAGGGAGTACAATTGTTAATTCATTTTGGTGGATGTGGAAATGAGGCATAGAGAGTAAAATAATCCCACAATGGGCACAAAGCTGAAAGAATTTGGGATTAGGATTGTAAAAATAATGTGGCCGGTGTCAACAAAGGGAGCTCTAGTGGCCTACTGGCAATATGCTACACTGCAATCCTGAAGGCACGCAGTTCAAGGCCACCAGCTGCTCTATGGGAGACGAATGGTCTGTCTCCTCTTGAGGGTCAGCTGTGGGTTTACTCTGATTCGACAGTACACACAAACAGGTGTCAATGAAACAGCTTTTGGTCTCCATGGATTTCCACAGTATTAACAGCACAAAGCCAATTCCTATGAGATCTACCAGCCTGCCTGTCTCAACACACACACACACACACACACACACACACACACACGCGCCACCTTTATCATCCCACAGCTCTCATTCTTTATTATTGTTGTTAGGTGCCATGGAGTTGAGTACAACTCCTAGTGACCCTATGAATAACAGATCTGAACCTTGTCCTCTCCTATGCCGTCCTCACAGTCTCCGACACCCTCAAGCCCATTGCTGCAGTCACTCTGGTCACTCTGTCAACCCACCTGGTTGAGGTCTTTCTGTCCTTCGCCATCCCTCTACCTTCCCAAGCATGATGTCTCTCTCCAAGGAATAAGCTATCCTACATTATTCTTTATTAGGTTTAAGAATAATAACTCATTACAGTGTCCACACAAAATTCACAGAGAATTATTAGGGAAATGACTGGTTATAATTCAGATTTGGGAACATTCAAGGTACAGTTCTTCAATAGCCACTTCTCAGGCATGCTTATGCTCTCTAATCCTCTAGACGACAGCCTTGGCCTCTGTTCTACTTGGACAACTATTAGAACGCTCTGCCAAGTATGTGTTGTTAGCATCCCCCACCCCTGTACTCTGCCAGTAAGCCAAGGCCCCAAAAGGCTCAGCTCTAACTTTGTGGATAGGCAAATGTAGCCCCCAGGACAAGTGCCCAAAGGCACCCAGTTCACCAGCAAATACTCTGCTTTCTGACTTCATGACCTGGGAGCCCACAGCTCTGACTCACACCAGTCTCTGGTCCTTGGCCTTCCCCGCCCTCTCTGCTGTGGCTGCTGCCACCCTCCTATAATCTCAGTCTTCTTGTCACTCAGGTTTACCACAGCTCTCCCTCTGGTTTGTGCAGGAATCTCAAGTCTAAAGGATACACTGCATCCTCTGTTTCTTCTTTTTCAGTGGTAGCAAAATCACCCACTTCCTACCTCTGAGATGACTCACTTTAAGCCTGGTGCATTGACAAAAGCGGACCAATCCCATGTTAACTTTCTGTAGCTCTTATCTGCATGATCCCACCCAAAAGGTACCAGCTAATTTAATTACATTATTAGCAAGCGATGTAAGCCCCTTGGTGGGCCGCTGATACTTATTATTTGCGTGGTCCTGCCCAACCATGGGATGAGAATAACAAAGAGAATGTCTAGAAAATCATTTCATAAAAGTCACTACAGCACAAGGGTTGAAAGTAAAACATCTGACTCCAGAGCCCCTGCCCTGAACCATGTACTGCCTCACTACCTCAGGTGACAGTCACATATAACCCATAAAGCTTCCTGCCTTGTGTTCAAGGTCCTTGGGTGACAAAGTACTTTAGAACCTTAGAACTATACACTACTGGGGAGACTCACAGGTTCCCCAGAAGGTTGACAGTCTGGACCCTCCCTTGGAGGACAAGTCTAGGAACTGCTTGAGACCCAGGAGGCCCCCTCAGTTGGAACCAGCTCCTCAGCCACCAGCAATAACAGCAGCTTTGTATCCTAGTCCTACAAAGAGTTCTGTTTAAAAAAATCCAAGTCTAGCTCTCAAAAACTCATTGCCATGGAATAGGAATAAACTCATAGCTGACCTCCATTGAGGTTCTGAGGCTGTTTTTCACCTGGGAGGAGATTGCCCATCTTTCTCCCACAGACGCTAGTGGATTCAGAGCATGAGAGAGGCAAGGCCTTTGATTAGCAGTGCAACCGTACACGACGCTGTCAGAGTCCCTCAATGTCCAACATCAGGAAAACAACGTACCCACCTCAGCTCCCAAGAAGACACCAAACATGCACTACACACAATGTTGTTATCTATTGTTGACTCAGAACTGACTCATAGCTGATGCTCCAGCGGGTTTTCAGAGGCAGTAAATCACATGGAAGGGGAGCGCTGGTGGCCTAGTGGAAAGGAGTTAAGCTGCCAACCCAAAGGCACGTGGTTAGAATCTACCGGCAGCTCTGCTGCAGATAGATGGCCAGTCTCATCCTGTGTGATTTGCTGCCTCTGAAAATCCACTGGAGGAACAGCTATGAGTAAGTTCTGACACAGTGGTATATACAATAACAATAAATCACATGGGAGAAGCTTACTCATCTTTCTTCTGTAGAGCACCTGGTAAATTTGAACCATGTGGCAATGCCACCCCTTACCACTAATCTCCCAGAGCTTCCAACATAGAGTTTAATTGTTGGGTACCACCAAGCCAGAACCAACCCACAGCTGACCCTCCAGTGGGTTTTCAGAGGCAGTTAATCGCATGGGAGGAGACTGCCCATCCTTCTCCCATGGGGCAGCTGGTGGATTTGAACCATGTGCCTTTGAGATTGCAACACAGCTTAAAGGGTTGTAC